CTGACCTGAAACTACGTAGCCCAGGCTGGTCTCAAACTCACAGAGATCCTCCTGCCTCAGCTTCCTGAGTGCTGGGATTACAGGCCTGAACCACCATGCCAAGCTATTATCATTTTTTAGAAGCACTACAATGACAGTTTAAAATTAAGTTCATCCAAGGGGTAAGATAAATTTATTTATTTATTTTAGGTACCGGGGATGGAACTTGGGACTTTGCACTTGTGAGGCAGGTGGCAGCAATACTGAGCTAAATCCCCAGCCCCTAAATTTATATATTTTAGATAGCCTTCTCTGTGAATACATGCTCATTTTTTATGAGTTTCATGGGCACTTGAAACTGTTTCCTATATTCATAGTACAGAGCTTGACTTACCTATATTTACTTTACTAATTACCGCTTTTATGGCCTGACTTTTTTTTTTTTGGTACCGGGGATAGAACTTAGGACCTTGCACTTGCAAGGCAGGCACAGTGCCACTGTGCTAAATCCCCAGCCCTAGCCTGACTTTTAATGCTTATCTTCCATATTTTGAGAGACAATTAGCTTTATTATATTTGTTTCTTTGTGAACTTTTTCAGTTTTGTTTTTGTTTTGATGTTGTTACTTGATACAATGTTCAGAACCATTAAATATTAATGATAGCTTACATTCTTGATTGACACCTATGTCTAAATGAATGCTTTTTGTTTTATTATTGTACATTTTCTCATAGTATAATCTGATCATCATTTTACTTTCCACCTTTTTGAGTATTTTTTTATGGATTTCTTTTATACATCAAAATTTAGGATGTTTTTAATCCAAACTAAGGGCATTTTTCTTTTCTTTTTAGTTTTTTGTAGTGCTGAGGATCAAACCCAGGGCCTCGTGAATGCTAGGCAAGCACTGTACCACCGAACGACAACCCCAGCCCAGCATTTTCTTTTCATAGGAGAGCTTATCTTTCTATATATTGACAAAATAAATGCATTTTTGGTCTTTTAGGTTTGTTAACTTGTTTTATTTTTGCTTTATGATCTCTCTTTCTTTGGTCTGTTTCATGTTTTTACTCTGATAACCTGGAAGGTTTATATGTTTTTAGATCTTGTAGTGTTTACACATAAGCCTCTATTTCTGATCTATCAACTTCAGATAGATTTTCTCTCCACTAAGTGGAGGAAATTAGTACTTAGACTTCTTGGTTTTACTTTTTCCACTTCCAGTTTTTTGGTTAGTGTCTTATACTCAACCATATTCAAAAATTCTAATTCTATACTTGCTTAGCTTAAGTCAGTGATGGTGAAACTTTTAGAGCTTTATTACAAATAGCCACTATGGCACGTGTGCCATAGGTTCACCACCACTGGGCTAAGTTATTCCATTTAAAGAGGTGCAGGATTGTGATGGATTTGTCTTGTATCAGTTTAGCTCAGATAGATCTGTGTTTCCCAATATTTCTTCCCTATGTAGCTATGTATCTTCAAGGAATTGTTACTCTGAATGAAATCTGACAATGCTAGAGTTCACTACTCCCCCCGCATACCATCTTTTCTCCATTACTGAATTAGTTTGTTATACCTCCTGGTTGATTGTTTATATTCTTTGATTAGAGCAAATTTCCTTATATTTCAGCTGAACTGACATTCTCTATAGCTTGTAATTTCAGGTTTTGGTCATTGTTTTTGCTTCAGTAAAAATGAATTTTTTTTTGGTTATTTTTTAAAATTTGTATTGTTTTTAGTTTGTTTTAAAGAGAAAATGGCATGTAAATTGTCCATATACATACATACATACATACATATATGTGTGTGTGTGTGTGTGTGTGTGTATGTGTTTTTGAGGGAGTCTACTAAAATAATTTTTATATGTTAAGTACTTTCCATAAAAACACTAACCACAGAAAACCAAAACCACAGAAGAACATTTAAAAAAAATCTGTTACCTGCACAAAATATCCTTAGCTGCTGGACTGGTGATATAAGTTGTAAATGGGTGGTGAACAGATCAACAAATGCTCCAGGATATATAATGAAGAGAAAAATCCCAAAGCCATTAAATCGAACTTGTTCCCTAAGAAATCACACAAGAGAAAGGAATTTACTAATGCTATAGCATTTGTCAAATTAATAATATAGGTAATCTTAAAATTCATTGTAATATAAATTCTTGCTTAAGAAATAGTCTCCTTGAAAAATTGATATATAATTTCATAATAGTGTTGTACAGATTTGGTTATTTGTGAAATTAAATTTTATAAAGTAAGGCTAAGGCCATTCTGAAAGAGACAACTTCAAAATTTAAAAAGCTAATATGCTGAATTAGTCACATATATAAAGAAATAGTTAATTCTATGTGAAAATAAATGATAAATATTTTTATGTGCTACTATGAACTATTTTCAGAGAAAGACATAGGATAATATATAATTCAAGTAAATTATATAAATTCTATTTGTCTTAGATATTATGAAGAATGATGGAAGGACCGGGATTTGGCTCAGTGGTTCCACTGCCTGCCTCGCAAGCAGAAGGATCTGAGTTCGATATCTGGTACCAAATAAAAAAAGAATGATGGAGATTTAGGTAAGTGTATTCCTACTGAACTAACATTAAGATAAGTATATTTAAAAATGTATAATGCCCACACTGTCCTTAATAGAACTGTTTTATCATTTCATTTTCTAAAAATGCCCATTTTATTTAATAGTCTCATAAGGCCACACAGCTACCTGAAAAAAAAGCATGAACTTAATATATTGTGTTGTCAATACTAAAGCTATAAGGCAACTAATTATACAATCTATTTTTTGTTGGCAATGGGGATTTTATTAAAATTGATTATTTCATACACATATTATAAATTATTAAACTATTAATATCAGTACTATTGTATCTAAAACCCTAAAAGCTAAAAATGTAGAAGCAAAGGCAAAGGGAATTTGAAAAAAAAAAAGGTAGTCTCCCCTGTAAATCACTACTGTGCATGCCCATGTAACAGTATATGCTTAGTAAAGATGAAGTTTTATTGCCAGTCAATAGACTCTTTGTTCATAAGAATTTGAAAGTAATAAGCAATTAAACTCTCTCCTCTAAAACAATGGTTCTCCTTTTC